CTTCGAAACTTCTAACCAAACTGGGTAAATTTTCAGATCACAAAAAAAAAAAACTTAAAAAAAAAAAAACTTTCAAAGGTAATTACAAGTAAGATAAATATTGATTATTTTACGCGAAAACGAGCAAGTAATATTAAATCTCTTGTATCATATGCTAATGCAAATTGACTGTAACAAAAATAATATGCTTAAATAAAATAAAATATTAATAAAATTATATGCAAAATTTACAAGAAGATCATTACTTTATTGGTGATAAGTTTCTAATAAGCCCTCCCAGTTCCTCTGTATGCAGAACAAATCTGACACTATAATCAGAATTGCTCAGTCTGCATGAAGCAGCCGATTTCATCAAGGAAGTTCTATTAACAACTAAGAATTAATCGTTTGAGGCATACTGAAGCATTAAGAAGGTGATATGTGTCACTATAGGAAATCATCAACGTTGCAATGATCAGTGAACGGGCACCATATGGTACATTTTCTCACCATGAACCTATCATTTCCAGCCTATCTGAACTATTTAATAAATGGAAGCCATAACATGGGTTACGCTCCCCCAAAGCGGGCCCTCCGCATCCTGTCTCTGTCTTTATCTCAAATACCAAATGCCAATGGTATGAATGTATCTTATATCTGAAAAATCCAAACCTGTTCTAATCCACCTGAAATGACTAACGAATGGAAGACTTTGACTACCCAGCCATGCAATAGTCTCATTCCGTGCCTTATGGCAACTTGATGATTCTATTGCGCTCATCTTCTGGCACCACCCAGGGGAGACATGGTCCTGTACCCAATGCTTAACTTATCTCCATTCCACTCAGCTACTCGCAATTTCTTGTGATATAGTGGGCGGAATATTATTATATGAGACAATTCAATGCAGACGTCTTTCCAAATTTGGCAGATCGACAGGTAATCGGTGAGTTACCACGATAGTTGCTATTCAACAACTCGACAACGTCCCATCGTCAACGCCTGCTATGAGAATTTCCCATTGCAGACGCCAACGAAATGATGTCATCGAGCTATCGATCAACTACCCTGATTATCGCCTGGTACCTTATAGCACGATGCTAGGAGGCGAACCGGAAGAATCGATGAGCTACCTCCCCCAGGGACCGTTGTTCTGGTACTGAGTGAGCCAAAAATAATAATGATTTTCTTCGGGACCCAGTGGTCTTAGAGTTACCTCTATGCTAATACCAACCGGTGGAAACTAACGATTTTATTTTGGCTCCAAGCAAATTGATGAAAATACTTCTGATCGCGCACGGTAGGACCCGATTTTCTACGTTGTGTTATAATTAATTGAAACAGACCGATTTATTGGCCGTCCTGCCATGGCGGAGGCATTAAACTATATATATTTATTGTTTGTTTTTACATAAAAGAACAGCACATTATAGTAGATACATAATAAAAGTGACAATTATAGATGGACAAGTGGTGACATCTATGGACAGGTTCAATAACTGTGCTATGCTTAGGGTAAAGGCGGTAATCGTCGCTTGCACGAACAACTTCATTCTAGTCGAAATCTAGTACTACACTATGTTTGTTTTGATTCGCTTTGAAAGTTTGACAGATAAAATGAGGGGTTCATGGCTTTTCCTATGTTTCGAGGGGTACATCGATTAGCTTGGGACCGAAGAGAGTACCAGAGCTGAGCCAAAAAGTTGAGCACGTTTCTTCGGGACCTTCTGGTTACCTCTATGCTAAAACTAAGGGCGGTAGAGAACTCTATGTATGTATTTATACAATGCTCATGCATACGGGCTTCATACAGAGTACAGAATAGTGTTTCCATTTCCCGGCCATTTTTGGATACCCGTGAAACGGGAAACAGCTGATGGCTCTTTGCAGGAATTCCCGGGAATCGGGAAATATTTTAATGCAGATACTAGAAAAGTATAAAGTATAATTCAGGACAGTTAGAATAATGAAATAGCTTAAGCACTTAATTTTAATATTTTTTGCTTCCATTGGAAGATAAATTCCTAGCTGTTTTCAATTTTTCTTTCGATTTCCAACTTCCGTAATTTTTAGTCACCCTTAGACTACACTCGAGAGTTTATTTTTAACCCAGAAGTCTCAGAATTCTCTCAGAAGTCTCTTGCGACTTTCTTAAAAAATTACCACGGAAGTTCTCCCAGAATTCAACATCCCCGGAAGATTCTTCCGATTTCCTTTATTAGATTTCCTTTTTTCCTGACGTCTCACGGAAATTTCTTCTGGCATCCCTCGGAAAATTCCTACGACTTCTTCTGAAGCATTCTTCCGATTTACCTTAGAAGATCTTTTGATTCCTGTGGAAGTTAATCCAAACTTTCTCTTTACAAGTTTTTTTTTTTGCTCCGCTGGGAAATTTCTTGTAACTGGTCAAGAACTGCTTAGCCTGCTTTGTTTGCTGGTTTTCTTTTTCTGTTAAGGTCGTACAGCTTCGCAGCATTCTAGAACCTCAGTCGGCGTGCACAAACAAATGTTCAATCGCTTGTCTCTCTTTCTCCCGTCGCTCCATTGGTCTTCCTTTCAAGCTTTGGTGAAACGGATGAGCGAAAGAGCGCTCGACTTTTATAGTTTTCTTTTTCATGATACACATCAACACAGGTTTCATGACGTATATGACGGAAAATTAAATTACATGTTTAAAGCATTTCTCACGTTTAATTTATCTTCCATCCACAAGTTTTACCTAAAAAAAGTTAACGAAAACGGGGCATATAACGCAATTTAAACAAATTGAAAGAGCGGTGATAGAGTGTTCGTGAAAGGGGATTGAAAGCCATAATGAGGTTTCGTTTAACTAGAAAATCGACGTTACTTACATTGAAAGCGATGAGCAAAGCACGACGAGAAGATCCACAGCCAGCGTTTCCTTCTAAGCGTGCTTCTTTTTCATTCCCCCTTATTCTGCGAGTCACGTGACTCTCTCTCACCGGTGAGGTGACAATAGTCACCTCGTGTGAGGTGACTCTCCATTTGATTTACATGGAGAGTCACCTCACACGAGGTGACAATTGTCACCTTACCGGTGACAGAGAGTCACGTGACTCGCAGAATAAGGGGGATTATCATTTCTTGCTAATAGTCTAGCTAGGCGTTATAGAAATGAAGCGTTGAACACGTTTGTATGAGAGAAACAAAACTCGAGTTTATTTTAGAGCTTCGAAAATGTAGAGCCCTGCTCGCTAATAAAGATAACCTAACCTCTGGATGATTTGAGAATACTTCAGGTTGATCTTATATTACTCTGATATTCGATTCAGAGAGCATGTTGATCAATAATTATCCCAAACACCTGCATAATGTTCTCTGAATATTTTGGCAATTAGATCATTAATTGTCCAATTAATCAAAATATGTCACTTAGATATTCTCCCCTTTGTTGACCAGGAATTATTCCAAAAACATTCAGCTGATCAAATACCTGCATAATGTTTCTGATGTTCTATGAACTAAAGGGCCACCCACATTAGATCCGTTTGCGTTGCGTTGACGTAAATTTGACAGATAGACAATAGCTATTGCGCCAGCCATCGAGACGAACACAGTACGGATCCAACAATCCCATCGATTCGATAAGTCGAAGACTCCAAGACAATTACAGCTGTCACTTTACCGCAACGCGTCCGATCCGGATCTAATGTGCGTGGACCTTAACGTTGCAGACAGTTGTGGTTGGTTTGAGTACTCTCATAAACTGCCATGCAAATTAACAGCGGCAAATTTTCCGCCGCGAATAAATCGTGCCAATGTGGGGGAGCCTTCAATCATGTAAATATTGGTCAACAAAACTTTTAACTTGTGGTGTACAACTCGCACGTAAGCCGTATTTTGCAAGCACGCATCAGCACTACTGTCAATTATCGTTCATGAAACATAGATGGCTGTTTGTACCGATTGCTTGGACAAGGAAATTTTATGATCGATGCTGCATACCAAATACTTTTCTCTACTTTTACTGCAGACCAAATGTCCCAAAAGATAGAAAACATTCTTCGGGATTTCCTTCTCCCTTCCCCCATCCCAAACCCCCGCAAGAAGGTCAAAACGAGCCGAAAACAATCCTCATGAAAGCCAGCATGTCGAAAGCAATTTTCCTCGTTCATGGTCAGCCGGAGTAAAAGCCCCAAAGTTATTCAATTTCTCGTTCAATAAATATTATTCTTAGTATCGTCTTCCGATCCGCTCCTCCCCTTTACCCTCCTACAAAACAAAACGTCACAAACAGTAGAATCCTCAAGAATGCTTCCACTTTCCGGCAGAATACATCATCAGCAGAAAACCGGAACCGGGAGAAGACAACTCATACTAATTCCGACTAAACGAGCGTTAAAGTTGATTGGAAAACCACTGCCTCTCTGACTCACTCTCAGCGCCTTGCATCCCATTCGATACGATTGGATCTTGTGGGCTTAGAATGCTTCGCTTGTTTTCCTTATTTTTAGGTAGACGGACAAAAAAAAAATCCTCAAGAAATAGGAAAATTTGTTCGACAGGAAAAGCAAGTGAAAAAATCGGTTTACCCCCAGTAGCCATAAAACGGAAATAAGAAGTTGCATGCCGCAAAGAAAAACGGAGGTGTTTGCTCATCCATAAAATGAGGTTGTTTTGTGTTGCCATCGGAGTTGGCAGTGAGAGGAAAAGATAAGGGTTGTTGAAAACGGTACCGCCGACCACCCAAATCTGAAACAAAGGGGAGCACGAAACTGCCATTTGAGCGCATCAGGTAGTGGGAGGAAAGGTGAAGAACGAGATAAACGAACGGATAATATTGTGAGCTCATAGTGTCTCTCTGACGGTGTGTTGTTTTGTGTACAATTTCGGCAAGTATCATCTGCTTCCGTTCCACAATAAAGCAGTGTGGAAAGGGGGTGGATTTGACTGTATAGGTAGCTATACCCCGAAAAGCAGCTTTTCTGCTTGCGCTGTACAGCAGCAGATCAGTTGGAATTGGATTACCTATTGCACCGTTTTTTTCCTTGGTGAAATAGAGCGAAGGATATTTTGACGCAAAGAAGCAAAGCAGGCTAAGCAGCTCTTGAGCAGTGAGTGAGTGGTGATAACTGAAAGAACAACATTGACAGCTATTCAGAGGACGACATCGCAGAAGCAGTAGCAGCAGTACGAGCAAAAGTAGGCGCAGAGAGTACAGGTATGGTTTATCAACAGTATTTATTTATCTTTGGGGGAATAAAGTAAATGATACATGGATAATTTAAGTTACAGTCGAATTTTGCTCTTTAAATGGTCTACACATTAGTTGGGATGCAGCCCACCTAAATTGAAGTTAAACTTCATTTCTGGCAGTTCTGATTCTTTTTCGAGGGGCTCATGGATGAACAATTTGGATAGTTGCCAAACGATTTTGATGATAATAAACCATCGGTTATCCCTCAACAAATTTTCAGCTTTGATAGCTCAGCCCATCTAACGAAAGCCTTTCACTAAGTGGGCTACGGGTTTTACCCAACGAGCGAAAGTTGACTGTACTAAATTTAGAGTAATATGAGGCAACACACTACATGAGGCAGAGGCATTCACCATAGGTCATCTAAATGTCTTCTGTAATCCAGACTTCGATGTCGATTTCTTTCAAAACTTCTCTTTGGATTCTCCTTCTTCTCTTGGATTTCTACTCACAAGTACCTTGATGTTCTCCCAAGGGGTTGGTCACTCCGCACAGTGTGCCAAAAACAAGCTCGAGCACACCTGGGCACAGTCATTGGCATTGTTTGGCACCCATGGTTACAATTTTTCTGATATTTAAAGTTACTAGCAACGCTGAACTTTTCTGCGCCTGCGCAGTGTACATGTGTCAAAATGTGTTATTGATGTAGCTACAATATAATCAATTTGTTTCAAAACACAATCCTGATGATCTTGATGCCTGTTGGAAGAACTAGGTACATCATTTCGCGCCAGACTGCGTACAATCATTCCGACCACCCAGCATGAAGAAATCAGGGCAATTGCTTGCATAGCAACACTCCGTTATCAAAATCGTTACACCGGTGACGGCACATTTCCTCCCAGACAAAGAACAGCTGACAGCGGTATCGTGAGCGGACCGAGGTTTACCGCCACGGCTACACGAACTAGCGATGCAGCTACCACGGCTGCGGCTGCGGCTGCGGCTGCGGCTGCTTCTAATGCTACTGCTGGTCTATCTTTTGACATTCTTTTGACGAATTTTAGAGTAGACGGACCAGCAGCAGCAACCAAAGCAGTAGTAGCATTGCACAGTGGTCCAGAATGCAGATTTAGCTGGAATGATATGTTTTGAGCCTGAAATTGAAACTTTAGACTAAAAGTCTCTTCTACAAAGTTGTTCCTTATAGTTAGGCCCTCATTTTTATGACAATGAATTCTAGGGTGGTTCCTATTATCATTAAAATCAAAAATCTAACTTTTTTGTTTGAATAAATTAAGGTATACATTCTTCGGCAAAGTTATAGCTGAGCTAATTTCAAGCAACTTTGTTGAAAATAACTTTTTTGTATCTCTTAAATTGGCCGATTTAGAGCTATTTTCTTGAATTGAGTTAGGGTGGCTCTTAAAAAAACAGTTTTTTTGCTCTATTTTTCTTATTTCGAATTTCTCAGCAAATGTGTCTTCAGATAACTTTTAGATATTAAAAAGGCGCAAATTTTTGCTACACAAAGCTTGTCAATATCTTTCGTCGATCAAGAGTTATTGACGTTTTTATACTAAAAATATGCACTTTTCAAATGTTAATATCTCTGGTTGGGGCAAACAAAAAAAAAGTTTATTGGCAGCATTTGAAAGAACGTATGATATTCTCAATAATATGAAAAAATTGGAGGTATGTTATTTTTTAAACTCGTATAAAATCAATTTGAATTAATTCATATTTTTTACTATATTTGAGTATATCTTTTTTATTAGAAGAGATACAGGCAACAAATTCAGCAATAAAACATTCGTCTTAAAGAGTTTTAAAAGTCTCTAGAAGATGACTTTCATGATAAATTTCAAATAAAAAAGTTATTGGCAAAAGATGGATTTCATAGGACCACTCTAATGACAAATTTATATAAAATGAGATAGTACATTTGTTTCAATATTTGGACATTTAGTGTCTTCGAAGAAGTTTTTGTTCTTAAAAATTCCCTTCTTTTGGTGTTTGCAGACGTCAGGGTGGTCCTCAAATTAGGGAATTTTTAAAACTAACTTTTTTGTTTTACAAAATATAAACATGTGTTGTTCAACAAAGTTGTAGTTAAGTTACTTGCAAGCAACTTTGTCGAAGAAAATTTTTTTCTATCTCTTAACGTTCTCATTTTAGAGCAATTTTTCGGAGTTGACTTAGGGTGTTCCTGGAAAAAATAGTTTTTTAGCAATAACTTTTTTATTTGAAAATTCTCATGAAAGTTATCTTCAAGAGACTTTTAAAACTCTTAAAGACGAATGTTTTATAGCTGAATTTGTTGCCTGTATCTCTTCTAATAAAAAAGATATACTCAAATAAAGTAAAAAATATGAATAAATTCAAATTGATTTTATACGAGTTTAAAAAATAACATACCTCCAATTTTTTCATATTATTGAGAATAACATACGCCCTTTCAAATGCTGCAAAAAAACTTTTTTTTTGTTTGCCCCAACCAGAGATATTACCATTTGAAAAATGCATATTTTTAGTATACAAACGTCAATAACTCTTGATCGGCGAAAGGTATTGACAAGTTTTGTGCAGCAAAAATTTGCGCCTTTTTAATATCTAAAAGTTATCTCAAGACACCTTTGCTGAGAAATTCGAAATAAGAAAAATAGAGCAAAAAAACTGTTTTTTTAAAAACCACCCTAACTCAATTCAAGAAAATAGCTCTAAATCGGCCAATTTAAGAGATACAAAAAAGTTATTTTCAACAAAGTTGCTTGAAATTAGCTCAGCTATAACTTTGCCGAAGAACGTATACCTTAATTTATTCAAACAAAAAAGTTAGATTTTTGATTTTAATGATAATAGGAACCACCCTAGAATTCATTGTCATAAAAATGAGGGCCTAACTATAAGGAACAACTTTGTAGAAGAGACTTTTAGTCTAAAGTTTCAATTTCAGGCTCAAAACATATCATTCCAGCTAAATCTGCATTCTGTACCACTGTGCATTGGAAGCAGCCGCAGCCGTGGGAGCTATATCGCTAATTTGTGTAGCCGTGGCTTTAGTAATACACTATTAAGGTTATGTCTTGACGGACGTTGGACTGTGCCTTAAATTTAGGTTTGATATTGTTTCAATGTTTTCTCCCTTTAATAAGTGGATGTTATCAAGATCGATCTTGCGCCGTGTAGTCTCGAATCGAATTCGAAAGGACATTACATGGGGGGGGGGGGGGGGGTGTATGTGTGGCCTTGCATGGTGCTGACAACGACGATGATGATCGTTGATGGTGGGGTGAGAGCTGACGAACGAGTTATTTGTATTTGTATTTGTATTTATTGTATAAATCCATCTGACATCGTGGTCTTAATGAATAAAACTTAACTAAAAAAGTAGTCTGTGTAGTAGTAGTAGTCTAAAAGGGTCTGTGCCTAGGGGCACGAACGGAAGCTTGACGTAGTACCGCTAGTGTACGGAATAAATGTGAAGAGCATTAAGTTCTTTTAATTGATCAAATATCTATTATCTCAACTTTTTCCGTTTTTGAATTGTAGGGGTACCAATTTGTAGTAATCTTTTTCAAAACGAAAGTTGATTACGAGAATCAATCAAAATCACTTGCATCCCTGCTTCCAAGTTTGTGTGGTCGTTGGGGGCTTGTGGTTATGAATATTGACAAACATGCACATATAAATTATGTTCCAAATCTTTACTGATGTAAGCTTGATGGCCCTGAAAAGGGCCGTTTTATTGAAGAGGACATCCATGGCCACTTACGCTTGGCGTGTTTAGTGTAGGTGACAGCATCACGGACCTCATTTTCCACGAACACCTTCAGCACACCTCGTAGATCAGACCGGAGATACGTCAGACACTGCCACGGCGAGCCAGACGACGGATGGTGGTTATCTCGAAGAATTTGCTATGACGATTGGCACCTCCTTTGCCACGACCAGTCAATTGTTGCTTGTTGGTTATAGAAAAGTGGACTAGCCACCTTCCTACTGCTGCTATTGCTGACCACGCCGTCCGAAGCGAAAATGAGCTGATACCAGACAGCAGCGCTGCTTTATATCTTTTTAGGTTAAAGCAGAATGATGTGCAACCAAGTGGTATAAAAGCTACAAAGACTCCTCCCATTATGAGTAGTTTGCTATCAAGTAGCGACACTGGCTATTTTCTTTTTGCGTACACGGCGAATGAGAACGACCCAAATTTGAGTTTAGTTCACTCATAATCGCCAAAAGTGTAGGAACTCAACGATGAGTAAATTTGTCTCATGATTTCCTGTGGAAAACCTAAAAAGTCTGCCAGAAAATGAGGAAATTGACGAAAATTTTATTCAGTCTCGGAGTAGTACCAATAGACTGAGTGAATCCAACCTTTACCTTTCTCAAATTCGGGAATTTTTCCCCGGAAAATCCTGGAAAAACCTGGAAAAACATGAGGCAAATTTATTCATCGCTGAGTTCCTGCACTTTATTTCTTATTTTTGAGATAACTAAACTCAAATTTGGTCGTTGTCATTCGCCGTGATAGATATCGACGCCGGTGGTTAGCATGATTACCTCTCACCCCAGCAGGCCTGGGTCCAATCTCAATCGACGCCACCGGCATGTTCTAAGGCATAACATCTCTGGGAGCTGCCTCCCTGGCGTCGGTAGCATTGGAGCTCAGTACGGAAAACAAATCTCGCGTCACTTTTCAATAGGTCCTATCTACATTGATCGATTCTCTTCATCGACACTCGTAAATAACTCGGTTTCACAAATCTGGATCAACAATGGAAAAGAGCCCATCAGCATTTGTAAACAAACCGTTCCAAAGCCCTTTACTCACAAAGCGAAGGCCACCCACACAAACCAACACCATCATTGGATAGGGGAAACTTCTATCTACAAGATGTTGGTGTTGGTTTGTGTGAGCGGCCTTCGATTTGTGAGACTTTGGAACGGTTTGTTTACAAATACTGATGGGCCCTATTCTATTTTTGATCCAGAAATGTTTCCTGCCGTCTTCCTCGAAT